TTTTAATTACTTAAGTAGTTTTTTTTCCTGCGTTAAAATTGCCATTTTTCATATCTCTTAACGTTGAATCAATCAATTACCATGTCGAAACCAAAAAACAAACAGCCACCAGAAATCAAAGATATTAGCATGGGTGTAGAAGAAACACCAGGAATTAATAGGACTTTGAAACCCTCTCTAATTGTGGTTGACGAACGTGAACAATATCAACCACCGCAAGATATCGATAATGACAAAAAAGAATCAACCATAAATGAAACAGTTAATAAGGCATTCTCTGGTCTTCAACTAGATAAAGATGTTCACAGGTGCTTGTATACAAGAAGGCGTATTCTAATATCGTGTAAACCATCTAAATTTTTTATTTTTTTCGTTATTCCATAGAGAATTACGAGGTCCTCGTGGATCTGATCATCAACAAGCAAGCGGATGGGTCCTAGGCTCCGACAGAAGCCAACAGGGTGATAAAAATCTTCCTTATACCGAATGATTCTATTTATAAACTTCCCTGGTAAATTATTATAACTGCATATAGTAATATATAGTAAGATGTTCAAGTTGGAATCGTACATATCAAACATTAGAAACAGTATGTGCAATCAATAACTAAATTTAGGTTGGTGAATCATTATGCGTAAAAAAAATTCATTCAATTAAAATCTTATAAGAACATCAATATATATATTTCCTTTTAATAACGAGGAATAGTTAGTCGATTACCTACAGTTCCATGTCTTTATTTCCAAATAAAGGGCAAAACGTTTAAACCTAATGTATATATATGTCAAAGCCGCTAATATATGTTATACAAGTTCGTGTTATTTCGAATGATTTATGGCAAAATGGTTTTTAATATTTTCGCTATGATACGTCAAAATGAAACGCTTCTGACCTTTATTTAAGTCACCAAATTTAACTACCGTATCGCACTACCGTAAAACGCCGTATAAGGTACCCCCCTTGATTTGTACCGGGTATGTTTCAAGGTTATTTGTTGTGGTGTT